CGTTCTCGTTTCTAAGATCCTGCCTAAGGATATATCGTCTTGTTGATATGTAATATTATTCAGTTAATTAGATGGCTCGGGGATTGAACACGCAATTACTATCTCATCAATTTCACAAACCAATGCTTTATCCAATAGGCTACTTCAGAGAGAAATTAAATAATAAAACTAAACCTATTTCAACGATTTCCCTTTTCACCATCATCAGCAAATAAGCGGAGAAAATGAAATAATGACACGAGATATTTAAACAAAAATCCATCGAGAAGTTTGGTTTGATTAACTGACGCCTTCTCCGTCTATCAATGTCGAAATTTGTCTCAAGGAATATTAATATCTATACACAGGAATGCCTAAGAATTTTCCAACTGCTTTTCCTTGTTTATGTGTGCCTTCAGTACGAGAACGATCATGGCTTTTCACATTTTCCTATCCTTTGTAAATTTAATCAATGGTCGTAATATTTACTATCGCCCCATGTTCTGCAATCCATACAATCTCATTTCTCGCCGTTTTATTCGCCCATTTTTTCATTTGCATATCATCGTATAAGTAGGGCCCGCTCAAGTTATTGGCAAATCGGGCAGTCGCCCAGGGAGCCATCAAGGCCGAGTGCGCCATGTCACGTGTTTGGGATCATCCAAACTAAAAGGAAAAAAAAATGAAAATAATAAATAAAATGAAATAATAAAAATTAAAAAATATTAAATTTCCTGAGTGGAGTAAATTTTTTTTCAGAATTTGGTCATTCTTTTTGTTATGGTATCGTGATCAAAAACCATAAGAGAAAAAAATGAATGATCGTTATCGATTATGAGACGTCGATATTTGCCACAATTAATGAGAGTTTAGTGATATTTGAATTGTATAAAATATTTACTAATGTACTATATTAATATATATTTTGCATATGAGCCAGTGCTTCTGAAATATGACTGAACGGTCACCCGAAATCATTCGGTTGCACTGAGAATAATGCGTGCTATACCCTGTGGAAACAGGAGAGAGAAACTTTTGTAAACTAGACCTATAAGATCATGCGGTCTTCCATGACTCAAGACATTAAATTATTTGTCTGTATTGTCAAAAAGAAATGATCTTGTAAAGAAGAAAGGTGTAGAAAGTGCCATGAAAAGATTTGTAATTCTAAAGGCGAGAGAAAAAATGATTTAGGGAGGATAATGAATGTTGTTCTTTAGCTTGTATTAAGTTATATATTGTAATAAATTCGTTATTTTACATTATCAGTTTTCACCTTGCAAAAATTAAAAAAAATATATATATGTGGGGCAGGTGAACAGCATTCTCTGCCATATACAAGGATTGCATAATAACAGAGCGTTCTTATCACATGTGTGTACATAATTTCGCTTAAAGCAGTCGATAAGTCGAAAAATATGCCGGTCGAAAAATGATGATAAAAAAAAAGGCAAGACTACAAATATTTCATTATCTAATAGAATATATCCAATAACGAGTTTTAGTATTCCAGACGGCGGGCTTAGTCGAAAAATATGACGGGCGAAACCTGTTGAAAAAAAAAAAAGAAACAATGTATGTGGTGTTAGGTGAGAGAACAGGTCGGTCGAAACCGGTTGATAAAAGAGATAATGTATGATGTGTTAGGTGAAAGAACAGGTCGGTAGAAATATATTGATTAAAAAACTCCGCAAAAGCAGAAAGGACACGAATTATTAACTTTTCGAACAATGTCAAAGGCTTATCTCAAAATTTGTGACAAAGATCAATGACGAAAACCTCCTCAGTCGATAAGTAAGGCATAAGAGCATTAAAGAAAAGATTTATGACTTCCTCGAATTACGTGAATGGCTCGTCTCGATATCAAGGAACAATGTCAAAATCCTCTTAGTCGAAAGATGGGGATAAAAGCAGAAAGAACATAAATAAGAAACTCCTCGAATAATGTCAATATCTCATCTTGATATCTTTAACAATGAACATGGTGGAAGAACTCTCCAGTCGAAGGATAAGCATAAATGCAGAAAAGTCGCGAATAACGAACTCCCCGAATGATGTCAATGAATCATGGCGATATCTTTGACAATGAAAAAGTTCGAAAAACTCCTCAATCGAAACTTAGGGATAAAATAATCGAGGAGTCGATTAATGAAGTCGAATTATATCAATGGCTCATTTCGGCATCGTTTACAATGAACAAATGTCGACATCTCCTCAGTCGAAACAGTGATAAAAGAAGAGAAGATGCGATTAATAAGTTATAAATGGTGGAATAATGTTGGTGATTCATATCAAAATTCCCTGCAATAAGTCTGTTCTTGACGACAGAAAGTTGGCCATTCTCTATGAAGCACCAACACTTGGAAAAGACGAGACAATAAAGATTATTCAATCAGGTTAATTTCTGCTATCAATCAACTTCGCCTAACCTTCTGCACTTTTATTAATTTTACGCTTTCTTGAATACAATAATTTCGCCATCTTGATTGATTCAAGTTTCTGTAACAGTCTCGACTTTACAATCTTTATTTATTACGTCGAGCTTTGGCGAGTAGGAAGCTTATCACCTCATCAATCTTTGTTTTTGCACCATTTCCTTTCACTATGTGAACGATCAAGGCTCTCCACAACTTCCTCTTTTCTGTTGTTCGATGTAGTCTTTGAATCTTACTATGCAAGTTTGTTCGTTCTTTCCTCTCGTCACACAAATTCGTTAAGTAATTTCCGCGCTGTTTTCTCTGCTTCACTTTCCATCTTGGATTTGCGGATAAGATAATGAATTGGGACACGGAATGAGATCTCGAGAAACCGTGTTCGAATTCCAATTAGGATTGTTACATACACTTATATATATATATATATATATATATATATATGTGTGTGTGTGTGTGTGTAATTTAAATAAAAACAGACTACTTTAAGGTTCCATATAATAAATTATTTAACCACAGCCCTTTTAAAGAACTGCGGATCATCAGACTTTACTTTCAAAGGTTGAAACAAAAAATGAAAAGAAATTTACACATTTTTGACTGACGTATTAAACATATGTAAATTAACGAAGTGAGGGGGGAGAGAGAAGACCGGCCCGAATTTCCGAAAATTGTCATAGAAAATATGCGTCCTCCGCCAAGAATCGAAACTGTATCCTATCCGTAACTGTCATATAGCCTGACGTGCTTTTACCGATTGCGCCACAGTGGAGCGTTTGGTTAGTAAGAACGATTTTACTATTTTTAAACTACAATCTTCCATGATTCTCTCAGGCATTTTAAGACATTTTTATATTTATACAATTATTTAATAAAAATATTTAAAAAAAATAATTGTCGGGCTTTGTCTATTTCATAATGTGTGACGTCATTTGTTTACATTTGGATACGCTTTGAGCAGATATGAATGTACGTGAGAGAATCATGGAAGATTGAAGTTTAAAGGCAGTAAAATCGACCTAGCTAACTGAATGATCCTCTGTGGCTCAATCGGTTAAGGCATGACAGGCTATATGACTGTTCCGTTTAGGATACAGGTTCGATTCCTGTCGGAGGACGCATATTTTCTATGACAATTTCTCGGGAATTCGGGCCGGTAAATGTTGTTGAATACTGTTTATTATAAACAGAGCATTTACTTAAATATTTGTATCTATAAAAAGAACGTATAAACATAAAAATGTCTTAAAATAATTGTCGGACTTTGTCCATTTCATAATATATATATAGTCCCCGTTCATCCAAAAGTATTGGAACCGCAAGTTCAATTTCTTTGTTTTTGTTGTTCAATATAGATTTTGGGTTTAAGATGAAAAGATGAATATGAGACAAAAGTTCAGGATTTCATCTTTTATTTCCTGGTATTTAGATGCGTTAAACAGCTTAGGACAAACCACCATTTATATCAGTTCGTTCCATTTATTGGTGAGCAAAAGTAAAGGAACATATAGTCTTAAAGTAAAGAACATTTAATATTTGGTTGCATAGCACTTGCTAGCAATAACTGCCTGAAGGCTGTGAATTGACAAAGTTTATTATATTTATCCAATGTTCAAATGAGGTGTTTAGTAGTATGCTCAAAGTTGTGGATAAACTGCCTGAATCTCATATCGCGTTTTGTTCAAGGACTTTCGACTTTTTCACTCATTATCAGGAACCAATGTGGTGTGTAGTTAGAATTCATTTGTCGACATCCCATCATCCTTTGGGAAGCTATAGGCTCTTGTTAATCAAATTTGTTTCGATGAATAATTGCTACCTGAATATACCTTTTTCATATATGCATGTGCATTGTGTCTTGGCTCGACTGTTTATATATGCTGGTCACTAGTGCATTATGTTTAGATCCATTTTATTATTCTTTTATTGTGTAGGCGGTAACCGTTATATTGAGTGGATATAATTGTAGATCCGGATATGGTATTGTGAGGAGCGTGGAACCACCTCTTAATTGCTGATCTTCCCAGGTCCGCCCTGATTGGGGAATCGGAAAACCGAGTTCGAATTCCAGTCAAATCCATTACATTCAATTACATGCTAATACCCTTGGGAAGGCTATGAATCTTATTCTTCTCCCCCTAGCTATGGGTAAATAGCAAGACAGACCGGGTTCTATAGCCTTTGATGGCAACTAGCCTACGGCAGAATGAAATGGCAACCTACTGCGGGAAAAATCTGCCTCGTCAGTCATGATGCATGATCGCCGAAGCGTGTATCATGCATGGTATATAACTGACTGATAATTGTACGTATGAAAGAAAATTTACGCTAAGTGTATGATCATCAATACTATTTTTTAGAAATGTTTTAAAAAGGGTCTAAATGTTTCTAAAATGTTTAGAATGAAATTTTAAAGTGCAAAGGGTTTAACAATCAAAATAGGTCATTATAAACTCTTTTGGGGTGGGGGGGTTACAAGTATTCACGGATTCTAACTAATCATGGACAGTTCTGGACCCTAACCCCCACGAATACGGGGGACTCACTGTATATGTAATTAATATATATATATATATCTTTAATTTGGATTACGACCGTATCACGTTGAAACATGGGTTCTCGTGCGATCACCTAAGTTAAGCAACGTCGAGCCATGTCAGTACTTAGATAGGGGTTCGTTTGTGAATACTCAGAGCTGTCAATTGCGAAATTTGAGTGGTAGAATGAGTAAGACCTGCGGATTGGAAATGGGAGAGCCGGGTTCTAATTCCATTTGGGTTCGTTTTATTTAATTACGAAATGAATTTATCCACCTCTATCTCCTCTAGCTATTGGTTAATTAGTAGAACTTCACACAGTAAATCATTATTATCTGTAAAAAATTATCTAAAAATATTTTCTGGCTTTAAATAAACTTCAAAAGGTTGATAAGCCGTAAAAATCAAACCAGTCTACCTATTGGTCTTATCTTTTGTTCTTTTCAAAAACTCTTAATAGCCAGAGGTTTTATATAATAAGAATCGTGATCTTGAATCAGAATTTTTTTTTCTTCGAGTTAGAGAAAACTTCATAATCAACTTTTGAAGTAATCAACCTTGGCAAGTTCCTCGAAGAAGGATTGCGTGCCTGATCATCGTTATATATGAGTAAACATCTTGCGACCATTTATTTTACGAGAGAAACTAATTGAGTGGAATAGCCAATTCTAACAGATTTGGAAGTTTCTTATCGGAATTTCCGCCTGAAAATACAAATAAATGTCGGGATTTCGTAACAAGTGGAAAAAATTGGAAGTTTCACCCCAGTTTTCTTGTGACGAAGTGACTTTACTGGTATTCCTCACGAAGGTCGTGTTTTTAAAAAGTTTATATATTTTTAAAATATCCTGTTTCACTACGCACCAAAAATAATTTGCTTTAGTTCAATTATATTACGAATTATAATTTTAGTTGTGTTCTTTTTAAAATATTTCTCTGTATTCGGCGTTCTTCGAATGAAATTTGTACCAATAATTTATAATATATTATTCTAAGAATTCCATCTGAAGCAAGTTGTAGTTGGAATCATGCAAATTCATAGACGAAGCTTTGTCAATTATTATTCATTTTTGATAAGTACTAATTTCATTTTATTTCTCTTGCTTTTCTAAAAGTATTAATAGTCTTAAATTGTTTGAATTTCTTAGATGAAGCCTTGGCAATTATTATTCATTTTTGACTCGCATTTCATTCATCTAGTAGTAAAATCAGTTGGAAAACATCTGTTAGAATTTTGCCAAATATATCCATTAAAATTAGTTGTCAGTGTATTTTTCATTTTTGCTTAATTGAGACGACAATTTATCCATCGTGAGAATTGACCAAAATTGCACAAAAATATTTTGAAATACTAATTAGTAAATTTATTCAATATAATAGCCATTGGCTTCAGTCACGAGCCCAGACAATTTTAGAATTTCCTGCAACTCTTCTGGTAAATGCTGCCATAATCCTTGCCTTCAGTTCATCTTTTGTGTTACAAGAAGTTGGTCTCTCGCTCAACTGCGACCCGCACATAATGATCAAGGGGATTCTAGTCTGGGGAGTTAAGTGGCCAGATGTAAGGGATGATGTGGTCGCAGAAATTGTCTGACAGCCATGACTGGATTCTCCTGTTTGTGTGACATGGTGCAGAGTCCTGTTTCCAGGCATAGTATACTCCAATAGTTACATTCTTGAACCAGGGCAGCACTACCTCTTCAAGTCACTTGATATAGGCCTCCGTGTTGAGCCTAAGGCCCTGTGGAAAGATAAAAGGAATTATAACATCCCCATCACTAGTGATCACTCCACACACCTTCATAATCACCATTAGACTCATCCAACTCTTTCCGAACCCTCTGTACCGTCTTCAGATTGACACCCAAACACTCTGAAATTTTCGTATTGGAGCTTCCGACGCGAATTTCAAGTAGTACAGTATGCCGTTAGAAAATTTCTGGCGGAGTGAATTTCATTATGGCGTCATTTTTCTCACAGACTCTACTCATCTGATCCTACTATAATATGGCGTCGATAAAATCTAAAAAGAAACGACGCGCATGCGCGAAATGACAAATACAATATGGTGACCATTTGCCAGTCACGACCTGTTTATATAAAGAAATTGTTTAATTCTAGGAAGACATTTCTTCAATTCTTCCATCCTTTGCTGAGAAATCCGTATTCAAGCAGAAATTTTAATTTTTGTGTCGTTCCCCTCATTACGATCATTGCTCGCCACAGCTTCCTTTTGCAGATCTTAATACATTTTATCCTTCCGTTATTTCTCCTAAACCCTGTTCTGCCATCCATTTACCCAAGCTCACTAAATAGGTTATGCATTGTTTTCCTCTGTCCCATTCGCCATCAATCCCTCCTGGGAGTATTAAATTTTCCAAGCCCCCTTTCCTCGTTATGTGTCCTAGAAATTTCAACTGTCTCTTCCTGATGTTAAGTATAAGTTTCCTTTTTGTTTCCATTTTCTCTAGAACTTCCTCGTTGCTCACATGTTCGGTCCATGGCATTCTTTTATATAAACCACATTTCTGTTGCTACAAGTCTCTTTTTCATCCTTGAGGAGATTGTCCATACAGGATGGCAGATAACATGTAAAAGTTTAGTACGCTTTTCCTTGTTTCTAGCGAAGTTTTTTTTTATGTTTTAGTACTCTGCTTAGTTTCTGGAAGGCATCTTTGGTTATCCCAATACGCCTTCGGATTTCAGTCTCATACTTTCCGTCCTCTGTTAAAACATTTCCTAGATATTTGTTTGATTTTGGTATCTCGCACTTTGGGCACGTCGTTTTGCTAATAACTATGCATTCTGTCTTCTTGCAGTTGAAAGTTAGTCCTTTCTTCTCGCTTTCCTTAAAGTAGATTACTGTCACATTATCTCGAACCCTGAAACCTTTTCATAAAACGTGAAAATGCAGACATTAATAGTTAAGTCAGCATTAATATATTAATACATATATTAAAATATCTTTACGCAGAACAATCTCAGTCGAATGTCTGTGTAACAATCGATCCGATCGAAACTCCTGTGAGTAAACCCTCAGTTTGTCTCCAAATACACAAACACTATGGACTTATGCGATTCGGACTGGTGATTTGTCATGATTTTATGCATAATATTGGCCGGTCGAGGAGTGACCATTCATCATAGTGGCGAGGTAATTGTTATGACAAGCTATATCGGCTGTTTCCGCTCTTGTCTTGCCCAGCCAGTAATATAAATTTAACCATGATTAACCAGTCTACTGGTCATCGACCTGAGACCAGAGCCACTGCATCAACACTGATAGACTTCTCCGGATTCCCTAATGAGAAGCAGATATATTTGCTGCGTGTAGTTTAATTAATCTTTTCAGGGGTCAATGGTATTTTCAAATCAATTAAATTTGATCCTTTTGAATTAACCATTCGCGGCGATACATTCAAAACTAAATACGGCAAACGTAATGTTTGCAATAAGCGAGAAAATAAAGCCAGTTAAATAAGAAAATTTTACTATAAGAGAACAGGTTTGATAACTCGTTTTTATTTGGTTTTATCCGAAATTTACATAAATTTATTTAAATGGGGATGTGCGGGTGGTGTCAGAAATTGTAGCTTGGAATAAGGAATCGAATTTCAGTGGAGTTTTTTTTACGTTTTGAATAAATTTATCGCCCATCACCATCTATGGGTTAAATAGTAGCACTTGGGTCTGCAAAAAAGAATTTTTGTTATCTCCAAAATATTCTTAATGCAACATTCACTGGCAGTAAAAGGAATTATTCCTATAATCTAATATATGTTTCAAAATTAACGCATAAATGGTTGGAAACCCGTAAAAAACAAATCATCTCTGTCTCTCTATTTTAGTCTGTTCATATCTATCTATCTATCTATTTATCTATCTATCTATCTATCTATGCCAGTCTGTTCATTATCTATCTATCTATCTATCTATCTATCTATCTGCCAGTCTGTTCATTATCTATCTATCTATCTATTTATCTATCTATCTATCTATCTATGCCAGTCTGTTCATTATCTATCTATCTATCTATTTATCTATCTATCTATCTATCTATGCCAGTCTGTTCATTATCTATCTATCTATCTATCTATCTATCTATCTATCTATCTATCTATTTATCTATCTTACTGTTCATATATATCTATCTATCTATCTATCTCACTTTTTATATCTATCTATCTATGCGATCTGATCCAAAAGTATCGTTACTGCTGCTATAAAAAAGAAAACTACACCAAATATCAATTCACAGTTTAAGTCTTTACCTGTCCAAGACATTTTCGTGTCTTTCTATACAAACTTTCATACTTGTTTTCAGATTTATAACCATTGAAAGGCAACTTAGTTTATTTGGCAAAGAGAATCTGCTGACATGCAGTCGCATATAATAAAAACCTGTTCATCACATCTGATACACAAAATCGTACAAATCATAAGTTATTTACACTACGCTCTGTGCATCACATGTCATGCAAACGCTATAATCATTTCAATAAAGTGGAAAAATAGACATCTTTCATTTGAGAGCTTACATTATCAGTCAATCGTGCTGTGATCAGATATGATGCCCCAAATATTAAATCATGTCTTTTCTCAGGCGTCCTACTCAATAGTAGACCATTTTCTTAATCGTCCTTAGTTTTACCATTCTTTTAAAATCATGTCTCGTGTTCACCACATATTATACACGGATGTGGAAATCACCTGTCCTGTTCATTACATATGATGCGCAGGACAGGCAAAGGGTCAATCCCCTTCGAAATATTTCCCTTTCGGAGCCACACACTTTATCTAGAGTCGTTTCTCTTTAGGGAAAACTTTCTGAAACTCTTTTAATGAGAAATAGAGAGTAACTGCTTCGTTGCATTCTTTTGGTTTCCACGACGTCTTGAAATCTTGTTTCTTTCATGTGGAATTTGGTTTTTTATAAAAGAATGCAACGCAACGGATGTGATCTGAGGAATATTGAATTTGTCGAACCAGGAGAAATTTCTGCTTTGGTCAAAACTGTTGCACAAACCGTAGTCACTGATGGAAACCACTACACTTTCCTTCCAAGCTATAAACAAAGAATATGAGTGAGAACTTTATAACTTAGCGTATATGCGTGAGAGAGATCAAGGTCAGTCTATACCAAGCAGCTTCCCCCGGAGTATT